GATAGATCAAAGAATCTGTATCAGATTTTGTGTGAAAAACAAAATTAAGTGCGGGGATGCATTCCGAATGTTGACTGTGGCATATGGTGAAGCTACCTTAGACCGAAGCAATTTTTATAGGTGGTAAAAAATGTTCTCAGTGGTCAGAAAAGATATGAAAGGCAATGAGCGTGCCGGACCCCAGAACACATCAACAACAGACGAAAACATTGACAATTGACTCCTGCCTTTCGATTTTTACCAATAATTCGTACCAAAATTGCTCAATTTCGACTTAAAACAGCATCGCATTAACATTGCTTAGGAGGTATTGGACTCTGTCCGCGACGACCCTAATTTGCTCCAGAGGGTCATAAATGGTAACGAATCATGGGTTTATGGTTATGACGTGGAAGCCAAAGCTCAATCATCCCGATGGAAGCTGCCGCACGAGCCAAGACCGAAAAAAACGCGACAAGTTAGGCCGATTGTGAAGGTTTCGTCTATAGTTTTCTTCGATTGTAGGGGCGTGATGCATCGTGAGTTCTTACCACAGGGTAAACATTACATGCGCAATTGCGCGAAGCAATCCGCCAGGAACGCCCGAATTTGTGGAAGAGGAAAAATCGGCTTTTGCACCATGATAACGCCCTGCTTACATATCGTTGATTTTGCCCCAATTTTTGGTCGAAAACAATACGCTAATAATGCCACAGCCAGCATATTTCCTAGATTTGATCCCCTGTGACTTTTTCTTGTTTCCAAAACTGAAGAGGCCAATGAAAGGACGACGCTACGCTACGATTGAGAATATATAGACGGCGTCGAAGGAGGAGTTCAACAAGATCACAAAAAAATGATTTTTTGAAGTGCTTGGAGGATTGAAAAACACGTGTGTGGAACATCTGGTTAGGATTACTTTGAAGGAGAGAAGGTATAATTTAAAAAAAAAAAACACAAAATTCGCTATACTTTTTGAACAGACCTCGTATAGTGCATGTCAACAAGTACGTACAGCGACAAACTAAATTAATTAACTCGATATAATTACAATTCCACTACTTTATCTCATTATCGTGGATAGAGAAGGTTAGAAATGAAGAGATATTGAAAAGAAAGGAAAGGAGAACAGAGGACTCTATGGAAGTCAATAAGGAATAGGCGAGACAGGTTGGTGGGACACCTTGTCAGGCATGAAGGTCTAATCAGAAGCATATTAATGGCAGAAACGGGAGTTAGGAGGGGCAGAGCTAGAGCTGGACTAGGTTACTGTTCGCGAATAGTTAAGGATATGGGTTGTTCTAGTTTTAAGGAAATAGGAAAATTAGCTCAGGATTAGAAGTAGTGGAAGTGCGTGTCCAATCAGTTTTAGGATTGACGACCTTATGATGATGACTTTCTCTCATGCTTCTGTCAGTTTACAATAAATTTAGTGGAGGGCCTGCATGAAATAGTACCTACACTGAGGTAATAAATGGCGTCAGGGCTGGGATGCGCGAAACGGTGTCTTTGCGTAATTAATTAATTATAACTTAATGATTTAAAGAGAGTATTTTTATTAAACGGATGTTTTGCGCATTCAAACCGAAACTCCAATTGTGATATAAATATACCAAGAAGAGAAGGAATACACGAAAGAAATATGTATAGATATGTATCATGAGTTAGCTCGATGAAGAGTAAATATTTACGATATGGGAAATCTATACAAGAGTCCAACATCTGCTTCTGGGGTTCGGGAAAACCCAGAAAAACCCAACCAGACCGCCTAACAATACACATATCAGGAGATACATGTTGTGTTGTTTCGGCTAGAATATGAAACGCAAAGTGTTCGCGAAATGATTTAATTTAATAAGACAATAAATTCAAGAAACCTATGATTAGCTCATTTGTATTTCATATTCATGGCGAAACATCGCAATTTGTATATATATGTATATGCGGAACGAAAGGTCCGGGTCATAAAATTGAATACATATATAGATACATTATTTACATAAGACTCCGAATAAAATCATCATCACCATACGGTTGTCAGTAGGACTGGTTGGACACGTACCTCCGCTCTTTCCTATCCTGAGCTAAACTTCGCATTTCCCTAAAACTAGAACAACCCACGTCTTTAACTACTTGCGAACAGAAATCTAATCTAGGTCTACCTTTACTTCTCCAAACTCCTGTTTCTGCCACTAATATGTCTCTGACCAGACCTTCATGCCTGAGAAGGTGTCCTGCCAACCTATCTCTCCCATTTTTTACTGACTTCCCGAATAAAATATACAACGAAAATTTTGAAAAATCTCAAAAAAAGTAACAATCGTTTCAGAGACAAGGTGAGGTTCCATATCCCCCATCCTATTGATAAGAGCCGGACAAACATTAACTTCGTAGGAGCCGCTACCTGAGGTTAGTGTGGGTCACTGTATACCCTTCAATAAGTACGAGAGAGTAAGCAGTATTGACCCATATTGCTTTCTTTTTTTCTTCTCCCTTCCACTCCCATATCAAACCCCTTCAACCCGTAGACGAGCGAAGCCGCTCTCGCAACTTAGATAATACGTAGTACTAAAATTTTCTAATGATCATCCTGCAGCTCAGGGGTAGCATGCCGGACTATGTTCGCAATACATACTATTGGGTTCGGCTATGGAAGAGAGAACTCACTTACGAAATGGAAGGGATAAGGAAAGGAAAGAATTATCTTACTCGCACTTGCATGAGCTCCTTGGATATACCTATTTTTGTATTTGTGGGTTAACACTGGTATTGAATAACACAAATGTTTGATCTGAACACAATTGTTTATTTATTATTTGAGAGGTACACTGTTGACAATGTTGACTCGAGTTAGATCGGACAAAGACTGACTNGCAATACATACTATTGGGTTCGGCTATGGAAGAGAGAACTCACTTACGAAATGGAAGGGATAAGGAAAGGAAAGAATTATCTTACTCGCACTTGCATGAGCTCCTTGGATATACCTATTTTTGTATTTGTGGGTTAACACTGGTATTGAATAACACAAATGTTTGATCTGAACACAATTGTTTATTTATTATTTGAGAGGTACACTGTTGACAATGTTGACTCGAGTTAGATCGGACAAAGACTCACTATTCCCGATTCACTCAGCCAGGTGGCTCTGTTGCCAACTTGCAACCTTAAGATCAATACACAACACCTATGGAGCACTCGGGAGTCAAAAGAGCCGAGTTTGCCCTGCTCTGCTATAGATCGCTTTATAGGTATGATCTATTGGTTACCCACAGGTACAGCTGAACCATCGAGAGGTGGCCCCTGATTTTTTCACTTGCTGTGCAAATGATAAACAAGAATCGCATTCGGCTAGAAAAGGATGACGCACACGTTCGTGAAAATATGAAAGTGCGCAAGGGGTTGGTCATTAGGAACACACTATTTACTCCAACTTTATTTGTTCGTATTTTTTCGTTATTTAGTCGTCCACTACATTGATTATGAACATTAGGCCGGGCCAGTTGGTGTGCGTCAAGTTCTTAGCACGAAGAAGAGCCGAACTTAAATATTTTACCTTAACACAATATTGCTATCGTCTAAGGCGCATCTGTAGGCATTCTGATCTAAAGGGTTCACATCTCGTTGCTCTAGCAGTGCTTCACTGAGTTTTGTATACGTGCAATTCGCGCCGTCTCATCCTAAGAGGGAAGGATTTATACCACCTATATTGTATTACTTTTAAATAACAAAAATATGTGATTAATATTATAAAAATATCGCATTCTTAGTTACCTACACTTAAAAGAAAATGAAAAGTACTTTTGTATTGTTTTACTAAATCCAAAAAAGTCAGAAAGATTAGAAGAAGTGGCTAATTTTAGGTATATAGGAAGTCACATAAGTCAGGACGGAAGGAGTAGTAGGGATATACAGCAGAGGATAGGACAGGGTCGAATCGCCTTCAATGAAAAGAAGTCACTTCTATGCTTGCGAACGGTTAATTTAGGAATTCGGAAAAGATTGTTAAAGGTGTATGCTTGGAGCGCGGCGCTGTACTTGGACAGTGTGCGCGGCGGAAAATAAAAGGTTGGAAGCCTTTGGAATGTGGTGTTACAGGCGAATGATAAGGATACCATGGATAGAAAAGGTTGGAAATGAAGAGGTGTTAAAAAGAATAGGAGAACAGAGGACTCTATGGAATATGAAGATTGGAAAAACTTTGGCGGTTGTTGTAGAACAAACAGAAAAGCTCAAAACCCCAACGCCAAAACACGACACTGTAGTTGTCCGAAGCACTTTTCGGTAAGTTTACTTCAGTCCCTGAAGAAGGTAACTTTGTTATCGAAAAGTGCTTCGGACAACAGTGTCGTGTTTTGGCGTTGGGGTTTTGAGCTTTTCTGTTTGTTCGACTCTATGGAAGTCAATAAAAAATAGGCGAGATAGGTTGGTAGGACACCTTCTCAGACATGAAGGTCTCGTCAGAGACATATTAGAGGCAGAAACAGGAGTTAAGGGTGTGGGATGTTCTAGTTTTAAGGAAATACGAACATTAGTTCAGGATAGGAAGGATTGGAGGTGCATGTCCAACCAGTCTTAGGACTGACGACCTGATGATGTATGATGATCTTAATAAAGATATTATAGATATTTCGGGCAGCATGATTACTATTACATAAATCAATCTTTTAGCTGTATACTGTTTTCTCAATGTCAACTACTCCGCGGTAATGTGCAATGTGTAACAATCTGGCTGAGGAGCGCAAGATAGTTCTAATAACTTCACGATTGATCATTTGACTTTCCTTAAAACTAAATAAATATTCATGGAACCATGGTACAATGTGAATCCGTTTGTTGATTATTATTTCGTCAATTGTGAATGATTAATAACGTGATAGGTAAGTGTTTTGTCGCATCAGATCAATCGAAGCCGACTTCTCCCTTATTCAGGTGCTTACAAAAAAAATAAAGTGTTTATTAAGATTTTGCTGATAACTAGAATATTTCAATGACTGGTAATTATCTTTCTATTTATAAGGATATATGCATTTACTTAATCAGTCAATACTTTCCCGTTTGCTTGTTGTTCCAAATCGTTAAAACGATGATGTTTGTTACATTTATTTGTTGGGCTATTTTAGCAAACTGTAAGTATTATTTATTAATTTTCTAATCCAACGAATTATTTTTGGTTTGTATTTTGCTGGTTAGTATTTTATTCCTATTTTAATCGGTATCTAGTTGCATATTATGTCTCAGTATTTAATATCATGCGTCAGTACTTCAAAGGTTTGTGGAGATAGAGTTTTCATTATAGTCTTAAGAATTGAACATAGTCTTTTATTCCCAATTTTTTATTGTTTTTCCTGCCTGAATAAATGAACATATTAAAAACTATTATCTATTTTAAACTTGGCGCATCCTTTTTACTACCGTAGTACTAGAGAACTGGCAACAGTGCGTGAACGAGTTAGTCGAGTAATTCATAATACACAGCTCGCCTCATTGGCTCCGCAAACGCAAGTTCCGCGAAGTCACTCATTCCACGTTGCTAGGTTGTCTGATATACTACACTTCTAGTCAATTTTACTCCGATTCGTAGTTTTTTGGTTGAGATTACTTCGAAACTAGACGGAGAGCGTTGAAATGCTTGTGAGAATTGGATATCCCGATACTCCAATTGCTTTCTCCTGACTTTTTAACTATATCTTATGAGCATAGTGAAATTTTGTATACCTTGAAACCAGTGCTCAGCAAACCTTTAAGTTGGAAGATATTGTTTCATGAATTTCAAAGTCACGAACTTTTAATTAAATAATTGAACAGGACAGCGGCGACAGAGGACATTTTGTCTTTCCTAGTAGCGGGCTGTGGTGGGAGGAGGTCCTGCTTGCTACCTGCGGTTTGCTGGTCCTTACTCTGGACGGCAAGATGTCTACTGGTGCTATTATATTGCTGTCGGAGGGATACCGCGATCGATCGTCCTCTTTTAAGTGCTCATTTAGAGACGCACTCCTCTACCCTTAGCACCATCGAAAAAGCCTGTTGCGGTATTTCAATTTTGCCATTGGTATAAAAGCAGAATTGGAAAACTTTATTTTATTAAATGAGATAACACACATTTGATACATACAGAAAGTTAAAGTGGGAAAAAGAATAAGATAGAACATGTGTATAAGCCGATGTGGAAGTAATTCAGAATCTCATGAGTCATGACCTTTGGTTACGTAATGATTGACCGTCGCCGTTTCCAGATTAGCAATCGTCAATTAATCGTTTCGTGTCTTTTAGCAACTTCATAGTCCTCCCTCTCCCACCATTGATACGTGGTGAGACCTTAAATTAACTCCCTTGCTCAAAATCACGTTTTTGTACAAGGTATCTTAAAACATTTCAGAATATTACCTTTAAATATAGGCATAATCTACTTTAATTCAGGAAAATTAAGTACCATGATAAATATGCCCAGGCTAGGTGCCATTCTTCAATGTAGAAATCGCACGTTCAAGGAAAAAAGTAAATATACGAAATATCTCACCACACCTCCCTTCCTCCATGGGATATTTCGTGATTTTTCTCGATCGCCCCTCTCCCTTTCGAGTCTTATGTGATTAATGGACGATCTCTTATCTGGAACTCCAGTCCCGGTCAAGGTTTTTGAAAAGTAGAATGTATTGAAATAAAGGCCACCCCTCGCGCAATTTGCGGCTTATGAGATTTTGAGATATCTCTAATATTCGCTGTAAACATTGGTATCAGTTAACAGATATGCAACCGCAAAGAAACGATTTTGTTTGGAACACCGTCCTACGGATATTCAAATCAAAATATATCCGTTTATTAATAGGTTTTGGCTTCACAGCAATTTACGTTCTTTTTAATTGATAATGCAGTTTATGTTGCAAAGATCCATCTGCCAATGCATCACCAACGCCATTTTTGAAAAGCAACTTGGAGACTAGAGTAACTAACGGATACAATGCAAGCAGACTGCAGTTTCCATATCAGGTTTCTGTTCAGTATGATTACGGACTCAACATGCAATTTTGGGATCACGTTTGCGGGGGAGCCATCATATCACGTACATACGTACTAACCGCTGCCCATTGCAAGTTTCTGGATGGAAACATGAAGATTGTTGCCGGCATTACAAATCTAGGAGAACAAGCTCAGGAGAGACAGGACATTTTAGCTGCAGAAGTTATCCACTACCCTACATATCCTATGTAAGTTTTCATGTTGATGACTTTTTGCTAATTACCATACAGGGCGTCACGAAATCATCGCACAAGCATTGCATTTCGCGATTTAGGAGAAAGGTCCAAGCCCAAAAATCCTGTGTCAGATTTTGATGTAATATTCTATTTTGGAAACACTTTCCATTAGAAAATTGGATTCGAATCAGATCAATCAAATGTATTTCATGCCGTTTTATATGATAAGGTCAAATAATAATTTTATAAGAAATATGCGTTGCACCAAGGAGTTTTCTTCTTAAATTTTCATGTACCTGGGTGATTGTGCTACTCTTCAGGCATTTCTTCTTGTTCGACTTTATCGGATGCTGATGCTGGCTTTCATCATGGCTATGGCTACGGAATAGATCAATAGAAATTACTCCGTAAGTTGGTGTGCCAGAAGATTATCCCTCTACCTAGTCCACTTTTTTCGTCTGATCTACCTTGTAGGAACATTTGTATCAAGTGGGTGTTTCTCATGATACGATCCAAATACTGCATCTTTCTTTCGTTTTTTTATGATGTACATAACCTGTAATTGGCAATTCATCCTTCTGAGGACCTCACCATTTATGGCCCAGTCAACCCAAGAAATTGTTAAGATTCTTCGATAGACCCACATTTCAAAATTCTGGATCCTTTTTTTCTATTGCTTCAGACAACGTCAAAGCCTCGGCACCATACGGGGTCTGTTCAAAAAGTATCTCGAATTGGAATTTCCACGGGTTACGTATATTAGATTTTAGAGTTTTTTGTGGTGTTACCTTAGTACTGGAGTCTCTCACTTATACCGACAAGTTCGGCCATGTTGAATGTTCAGTTAACTTTTGAAAGCTACTTTGCTTGCACGTATTTTGGCTCATCTTCGATTTTTGCCTATTCCAAAAAATGGATCAAAGAATCTGTAGCAAATTTTGTGTGAAAAACAAAATTAAGTGCGCGGACGCATTCCGAATGTTGACTGTCATATATGGTGAAGCAACATTGGACCGAAGCAACGTTTATCAGTGGTGGTAATCTAGAGGGTCATAACTGGTGACGAATCATGGGTTTATGGTTATGACGTGGAAAGCAAAGCTCAATCATCCCAGTGGAAGCTGCCGCAGGAGCCAGAATCGAAAAAAAACGCGCCAAGTTAAGTAGATTGTGAAGGTTTTGCTTACAGTCTTCTTCGATTGCAAGGGCGTGGTGCATCATATGAGTTCTTACCACAGGGTAGAACGGTCAGTAAGGAATATTACCTGCTGGCTATGCGCAATTTACGCGCAGCAATCCGCCAAAAACGCCCGAACTTGTGGAAGAAGAAAAATTGGCTTTTACACCATGATAACGTCCCTGCTCACACATCATTGTTTGTGCGCAAATGTTTAGTCAAAAACAATGCACTCTTAATCCCGCAGCCACCGTGTCCCCAGATTTGACCCCTTTGTGACTTTTTTGCCCCGAAGCTGAAGTGACTCATGAAATGACGACGCTACGCTACGATTGAGGAGATAAAGACGGCATCGAAGGAGAAGCTGAACAAGATCACAAAAAATGATTTTCTGAAGTGCTTCAAAGATGGGAAAAAAACGTTGGCACAAGTGTATAACATCTGGTGGGGATTAATTTGAAGGGGACAAAATAGATAGTCATGAATAAATAATTTTTGAAAGAACTTAAAATTCGCATACTTTTTGAACAGAACTCGTACAGCAATAACAAAAATATAGCAATTTATCGGTATATTAGATATTCATTTAGACGATTGGTTTAACGAATTAACGCTTTGTATTTTGTTGGCCAATAAAGTTTGTATAATCTTTATATATTTTGTAGTAATGATAAAACTGTAACTTTTGGAGACATCGCCCTGATAAGACTGGCAACTGCTTTAGTTTGGTCTCGAGCTGTACAACCAGTATCAATTAGCCAGCACAATTCGGAATCAGGTAATGCGATCTTGACTGGATGGGGTGAAATAAGTTCTAACAGCGTTTTGGCACCTGTAACACTACAGTGGGCTCAAGTACCAATTTTGAGCACAACAGGTAAATAAATTGTATTATTCATTTTCATGGTAGGTACTTGTACACTAGAGAATTTAGAAATTGGCTGTTTTGCTATATGTTAAATAAACGGATAATTAGCAATAGTATAAGCCGCTAAACGTCTTTAGGGAAAGAATAATGTTTGCGTCACTTTTTAATACACAACAGTACTTGCAGTAAGTAGTATACGTTCAAATGCATTGAAGATTTTGTTACCCTGAACTGCTTGATATGCAGTCTAGGTTAAACAAACTAAAAAACTACAAATGGCGCAGTAAACGCCATCTGTAGCACGATGCTACATTTTAGGATTACGTATGTTCCAACATGGTCCACTTGTGTGGATATCTACTTTCTGAAAACGAAATGATTAAGCTAACGTGCCTTTCACGTTGAGGTTGGCTACGCCGGGATTCGTTTTCAGCAAGTAGAGATCCACACAAGTGGACCTTGTTGGAGCATACGTAATCCTAAAATGTAGCATCGTGTTACAGATGGCGTTTACTGCGCCATTTGTAGTATTTTCTAAAACGCACTGTCAAGGCAGCAGGTAAAAGTTGGTCTGTGTTCTGTCGGAGCTGTCTGCGACGCGCTGATGAGATCTAAAAAGATCGAAATCGCGATCCGCGTCTGGCAGTATCGACAGAATACAGACCACTTCGAATTATTTTAAACTAAAACACATTTGCATCTTTCAATTGTGAAAGACTAAATTACAATTTAGTAGCAAAATGTTGCAGACTGATCGAATAAACGCTTTACCTTTATCATCTAACATACACTAACTTATTTAACCTACTGCATTTATTTGTCATGGATATCAAAAATAATCTTAATGTATATAATTGATCTTTGATACTTTGTGAGGGACCATTATAACTAAATTTTTAATTATTTCTGTAACTTTTCAATACTTCACTTAAACGTTACATTGTCTATCGTTTTAAAACTCCTAGGTTGAGTTCCTCCTGAGTTCTAAAACGATAAGCAATCAAACGTTACAGTGAAGTATGTATTGAAAAATTACAGAAATAATAAAAAATTAAGTTAAACTCAATGTAGTATTTTTCGGTCTACTTTTATTCGCAGTGTTGTGTTGGCACTATTGATTTTTTCGCTGAAATAACCGTTAGGTGCAGTCAATGAGACGTTACTAAAAAAGCGTTTCGATCACGACAGTACTTAGGATCTAGTAGGAGTATCAAACATTTCCGCTATGAAAGCTTAGGTACGAGATATAGTAAATATATTTTCTTCTTTTTAGTTTGCGCCAATACTGTTCGATCATTATCTCCGCAATTAGCAGATGCTCCGTTTGACAACACTATTATCTGCACGAATACAAGATCGACAACTTCGCCCGTTTCTGCTTGCAACGGTGACAGTGGAGGACCGTTGGTCCAAAATGGGGTAATCATAGGGGTAGTTTCCTGGGGAATTTCTCCGTGCGGAGAAATTTCAAATGCTCCGACCATGTACACGCGAGTAGCTTCCTATGCTTTGTGGATTGCACAATATGTTACCGACTTATAAATATTTGTCTTTTCACAAGTGTTACTTTTTGACAATAAAAACGATTAAATAGTGTGTTATTTGCTATTGTTTTCTTTATTTTTAACAAGGTCGTATCAAGCCAATATTAAGTTAGGGTCACGCACCTCCACCCTTTCCTGTCCTGAGTTAATCTTCGCATTTCTCTAAAACTAGAACAACCCATATCCTTAACTATTTGCAAACAGTAATCTAATCTAGGTCTACCTCTACCCCTCCTAACTCCCGTTTCTGCCTGTAATATGTCTCTGACTAGACCTTCGTGCCTGAGAAGGTGTCCTACTAACCTATCTCGGTTATTTCCTATAGACTTCGATCGAGTCCTCTGTTTTTAATACTTCTTCATTTCTAACCTTCTGTATCCGCGGTATCCTTATCATTCGCCTATAACATTACATTTCGAACGCTTCTAACCTTTTCTTTTCCGCAGCGCCCACTTTCCATGTTTCACACCCGTACGCGCTGCGTTCCAAACATACACCTTTAACAATCTCTTTCGAATTTCTAAATTAGTTGTTTCCGAGCATAGAATTGACTTTTTTTTGTTGAAGGCGACTCGACCCTGTGCTATCCTCTGCTTTATATCCCTACTATTCCTTCCGTTCTAAATTATCTGACTTCCTACTTCCTAGTACCTAAGATCAGCCACTTCTTCGTCTCCTATCTTTATATTCGCTCTTTCCCTACCTTCTCTTCCATTGCATATATTGCAGTGTTTTCGTTTTACTTTTATTTATTTTCATACAATACTGTTTTGTCAATATCGCTTCCATTTTATTATTAAAGCTATTTCTAACTCCTCCGCGCTAGACGATAATACTGCTATTTTTTTATAACGAGAACAGTATTTTTTTATGGATAGAGAAATTAACGTAAGTGTTGACGTTCTTTTGTATTGTAAATTTGTGGCATTTTCCTTGAAATTCTACATTAGCTTCTAAGGACTTAAAGGATATAAAGTTTAATCGATTTAATAAATTAAGTGTGGCATCCAATATCCTTTTCTTCTTTTATTAATATTAATATTGAATTTCAGTGATATGCTACCATCTGCTAGTAGTAATACGTGTCACCTNGATAGAGAAATTAACGTAAGTGTTGACGTTCTTTTGTATTGTAAATTTGTGGCATTTTCCTTGAAATTCTACATTAGCTTCTAAGGACTTAAAGGATATAAAGTTTAATCGATTTAATAAATTAAGTGTGGCATCCAATATCCTTTTCTTCTTTTATTAATATTAATATTGAATTTCAGTGATATGCTACCATCTGCTAGTAGTAATACGTGTCACCTCGATACGATAAGTAGAATTCCATAGCGGCAACTTCTGTAGTACTCTAGCGCCGTAGTATGATAGCAACTCAAACCATAGATGTCGCAGCGATGTACTTACGCGGCAAGATGAATAATATTTAATTACTGCCATAAATCTGAGATTGTGTTGATATGCCAACGAAATTGTGTCGTATATAACAAAAGAAAAACCGGTCTAGTATGAATTGCACTCGCGCACCGAGGGTTCCGTACAAACTTAAAGGGCTGTATCGTTTGATTGCGACTTAGCATAGAAGTCGGGAATTATTCAATTAAATCGATTTTATGTTTAGCATATTATTATTTCCACTATAACAAGAGTTACTATTTTCCACATTGTTTAATTACATTCTTCAGCAAATATTCACTACTTATGTTTATTTATACAATATTTTACATAAATACAATAATTGCAGCGCTTATATGATTCTAGTATTTATAATAGTTATTATTTTTAATACCCCCAGTGGGTTATACCAACGTAACTTGTAGCACCCTTGTGATCGTCATGGCTTGAAGGAGTATGTGCAGGATGATGTGCATCGTTATTATGGTGGTCGGAACCACCATGTCCGTAATAGTGTCCTTCATGGTGATCACTATACACAGGGTCATATGGGATATATTTTCCGTATCCAGGATGATAATAGTGTCCGGGATGAGCAGAATCGCTATCAAAGCTCGGTTTGATATTTTTTCCTGGTCGAGTTACCTTGTATCCACCTTGAACTCCTTTGTTGTGACCATAAAACCCAGGATAACTGGAACTTCCTCTATGATTATCGTTATAATATTTGTCATGGTTGTCATTATTTTTAGAAACATCTTTTCCTATATGATTTTCATCATAATATTTCCCCTGGTGGTATGGATGATGAGATTCTCCGGTATATTTTCCATCATTATGTTTATCGTATGTTGTCTTGGGATTATATTTTCCATAACTATCATAATTTTTTGGATCGTATTTTCCATAGTGATCATAATTATTAGGGTAGTATTTTCCGTAATAACCTAGATAAGGATTGTTACCATAGTATTTATTATTATTGTTATCATTATGTTTTCCATTGATCACTGGATGGTAAGCTGTTCCAATCCTTTTCACAACTGCTTGGAATCCTTTATGGGGTCCCGCAACATAATCTACAACTCTTTTTGTACCATCGGGTTCATCGAAGGAGTATGAGCCCTTCACTACGTCGCCATCTTTTTCTTCGTGCTGATGTTTATGGTCTTTGGTATGGGGATCATTTACACCATAGCTGAATTGATAATATCCAGGAGTCTAATAATGTAAAATGTTATCCAATTTTGATTAAATTGTTTGAATTTGATAAAAATCATAAAAATGGGTAAGTGTTAATTACAAAGATTAACCTGTCTTTCCTAAATTGATTGGAACAAGCTGTTATCTACCTATATTGAAAGAGTTATTTCCTCCGCTCTTCCTGCGGAAGGCATTCATTTCAAACGGTTAATTTAATATAGTCTTAACGATTGATCTATCAACAATCGTAAGCGTATGTACCAATTTCTTTTTTGTTTTGTGCGTTAATAAGAAGCCTAGTCAATATACGAATATAAATTAAATCCATATTAAACAGAAGTAGAATGTATCAGTAACAGAACAAAGTTCTCTTTGCAAATTAATTAATTAGCAATAGAAATAGACACTGTGGTTTTCAAACCCTCCAACTGGCTCCAAATTGTTACCATACACTCCTTTATGGATTACGGATGATGAAAAGAACTTTTGACTACTTGAATCGGAAGAAATGCATCAATGGGTTGCAGATTATACATATAGTATAAGTTGGATGACTTTACATAGCAAAGTGAATTCTTCAAAAAAAAAAAAACTAAAAAACTTTTTGGTGTTTCATTTCCATTAGTAATACTGGTGGGCGGGTAGTCCCTCCGGACTGCACCGAAAGGTAGAGCGGAAGACCCCTTCAGCCTCATTTCAGGAATCGTTGGAATAGGTGGATGGTGATTCGGGTGAGATAAATAAAAAGAGAAGGTAGAGGTTTTTAGTCGGTAGGTCCGAGGAATCCGACACTATCCAGTCGTAAGGACGGCTGGGTGTCTTTTGAAGTTTTCCCCTCTTCCACAAAAACATAAAAAAAGGAACCCACAGAAAAACTTGGATCAAGGCAGACGGACCTGGAATCGAACTGGCGTCCTCTCGAATAATAAGCAACATGCTTATGACCTATAAGTACTTAATCAAAAATTTGGGGGAAACCTAACTTAATCTACCTTACCCTACTCTCGTAACACAACACAACACAAACAAACTTACGGTTGACAATAATCCTCTTTGCCCATATTGGGTATACAACTCCCAAGGGATACTATCTGACGAAAATCTGAAGCTAATATAAAGGTTTTCCTTTCCAAAAATATATATGTATTAATGTGAAAATTCATTTACAATTTTTTAATTTTTAACCTACTGTAAGCTACTATATTGGTGCGTAAAGCCATAGGTCTCGGGTTCGATTCCCGGCGAGGGTATGACAACAACAACAATTTTTTTTTCATTAGCCTGAGGTAATTTATAGTGGGTTAAAAATTAAAAAGCTGAAAATAAATTTTCACATTAATATTTGATATTAACTACTATTAAAAATGTCAAAGTATTTCATATAGTATTAATATTTTAAAGTACCGTCACGGAAAAAAGAATTGTTTATACTACTACTGGTTTAATTCGCCAAAAATTCTTTTAAATATCATCATAATCCCTAAAGGAATGTGTGGTAAAAATTTGAAGTCAATCGAAGGGTGACCTTTTCGGAATTCCAGACGAAATAAATAACATCAGAGATTAATAATAATAGATTTCATATTCCGTTCGGGCTATATATTAAAAAAATAATAAAAAATAATTTTCATTTTGAAAATGTCTTGCAGGCTAAGCTACGTCTACGTAATCCAAGCAACGAAACTGTATTTTGAGGCTTACTCCTTAAACACAATGCTAATTAGTTAATTACTTGTACAGATCCAGATACTTACAGTTGCATGTTGATGTGAAAAGGCGACCGCGATACATGGTAATGCTAGCAAAAACACGTAAACCTGAAACAAATTTAATTAATTTCTATTCCCAAAGGAAACATTTGGAAAATATGTAAATGTGTGTAATCATACCACTTTATAGCGCATGTTGTTTTCGGCAGCTGTAGGTATTAGTTAGTTGTCAGTGCTGATGTGATTAAAATATTAAAACCACTCTACCTTATATATACGTAGCAACCAATAAATAAGAATTTATTAGGTAATTTCATAAATCTATTCATTTCATGTGTACAAGGAGATCTTTTATTTCTTAAAAATTCTTTAAAATGTTGAAACTACACATGAATGAACATGTACCTATTTAAAAACTATGCATTTATTGTATAAAATTTGAAAAAAGTTGCCATGGTAGAAATAATTCTAAATTTTTATCCAATTTTATCTGAACTACCTAATTTATCTGCTACATAAAATAATGTTCGTACTGTTTTCTTATACTATATTAAGTAGGTTCTTGTTAGTACAGGGTGTAACAGAAGTAGGTGCCGAGCATTCGAGGGAGTCAACTGGATGTAATAAACAATCGCATGATGAATTCAGCAGCATGGTTAGAGGCAATTTTTTTTTTTAAAAATCACAATCACAAGCCAGTCCTGTGCTTTCAAAATTACCTATTTAGAGGAAAATTTTAGAGAAAGCAGATTAAGCAATTCGTATACATAGGCTTCACATACGATTTAGAAAATCAAGAATATCGTTTTTGAAGTTTTGGGTGTGATATTTTCAAGGAAATCTAAGAACGTGCCTTATCCTAACTATTTTTGAAATTACTGCATTATAAAACATGAAAATAAAGTAAATATTTGTATATCAAAACATACTTGAAAGTAGAGGTGAATTAGATTCCCGGCTCTGATAGAGAAATACGTCCCGCAACGCTGCACTCAATCAGCTGGTGATTAGCAGCATCCTTGTTGCATTTGTTTTGTATTTTTTTTTACTTCTGTATTGTTTATTTGTTAGATTCAGGATGTTTCCAAGGTCTAATAGCCGTTTATCCTTTTAACGTTTAAACGTCATGTGAGGCAATCAATGTGCAGTTCAGTAAACTAATTCAGCAAAACATCAGTCATTAGTATTGGGATCCGTCAAATGGGCATACACCATCTGGTGGCAAAATTTATAACTCGAATGAGGGAAAAATTTACATAGGAACTGTGCACCCAAATTGTAAAATTGTTTATTAANATAATAAAAAATAATTTTCATTTTGAAAATGTCTTGCAGGCTAAGCTACGTCTACGTAATCCAAGCAACGAAACTGTATTTTGAGGCTTACTCCTTAAACACAATGCTAATTAGTTAATTACTTGTACAGATCCAGATACTTACAGTTGCATGTTGATGTGAAAAGGCGACCGCGATACATGGTAATGCTAGCAAAAACACGTAAACCTGAAACAAATTTAATTAATTTCTATTCCCAAAGGAAACATTTGGAAAATATGTAAATGTGTGTAATCATACCACTTTATAGCGCATGTTGTTTTCGGCAGCTGTAGGTATTAGTTAGTTGTCAGTGCTGATGTGATTAAAATATTAAAACAACTCTACCTTATATATACGTAGCAACCAATAAATAAGAATTTATTAGGTAATTTCATAAATCTATTCATTTCATGTGTACAAGGAGATCTTTTATTTCTTAAAAATTCTTTAAAATGTTGAAACTACACATGAATGAACATGTACCTATTTAAAAACTATGCATTTATTGTATAAAATTTGAAAAAAGTTGCCATGGTAGAAATAATTCTAAATTTTTATCCAATTTTATCTGAACTACCTAATTTATCTGCTACATAAAATAATGTTCGTACTGTTTTCTTATACTATATTAAGTAGGTTCTTGTTAGTACAGGGTGTAACAGAAGTAGGTGCCGAGCATTCGAGGGAGTCAACTGGATGTAATAAACAATCGCATGATGAATTCAGCAGCATGGTTAGAGGCAATTTTTTTTTTTAAAAATCACAATCACAAGCCAGTCCTGTGCTTTCAAAATTACCTATTTAGAGGAAAATTTTAGAGAAAGCAGATTAAGCAATTCGTATACATAGGCTTCACATACGATTTAGAAAATCAAGAATATCGTTTTTGAAGTTTTGGGTGTGATATTTTCAAGGAAATCTAAGAACGTGCCTTATCCTAACTATTTTTGAAATTACTGCATTATAAAACATGAAAATAAAGTAAATATTTGTATATCAAAACATACTTGAAAGTAGAGGTGAATTAGATTCCCGGCTCTGATAGAGAAATACGTCCCGCAACGCTGCACTCAATCAGCTGGTGATTAGCAGCATCCTTGTTGCATTTGTTTTGTATTTTTTTTTACTTCTGTATTGTTTATTTGTTAGATTCAGGATGTTTCCAAGGTCTAATAGCCGTTTATCCTTTTAACGTTTAAACGTCATGTGAGGCAATCAATGTGCAGTTCAGTAAACTAATTCAGCAAAACATCAGTCATTAGTATTGGGATCCGTCAAATGGGCATACACCATCTGGTGGCAAAATTTATAACTCGAATGAGGGAAAAATTTACATAGGAACTGTGCACCCAAATTGTAAAATTGTTTATTAAAATAATAAAACACGTTAAAAAAGTAAAAATTTTTTTGATGATGGAGTCGACGAAGTTTTCTTCTAAAGTTAAATCAAATAAAAAGTTAATATGTTCAGTGAAAAGCTGCAATAGCACTTCAGACATAGATCTTCACTCTTCACCTACATTAACTACTTTCCAATAAAAACTAACCGTTTTATATATGTAAAAAATATATTCGGAAAATTAGAGAAAAAAGTAAACTAATAGAAGCTTGGATGAAAGCAGTAGGTATCAAAGAAGTGAATTCCGGAATAAAAATTTGTTCACGTCATTTTAATGCACATGATTATATTTCAGCAAGTATTTACCATCAGCCATAACCTTAATATTTAAAACTAGAATCATACTAAAATTATAAAGTGAGAAATTATTTATTCCTGTGTAATTGATTTAACACAATTCTAATGATACGATATAAGTATTTTGAGGTTAAGAACCTACCTGCTGCAATACAACAAAGTTGCAATAATGTGTTTGCAACGTTCTCTTAAATCGGCTTTGCACGTGCAAGTCATTGATATGATTTTGCTTAAATCACCCAGAATCACCTCACCAATTATATAACGTGAATCACTTTTTAAATCCGAAGTTTGTAAAAAGTAGGCAGTAAACTTGACGGAATTTGAAGGCTAGCTTCCGGATTTGTTATTTCCGAATTTTATAATGTGGTTGGCATTAAAAACACGCTCACCTTCAACGAAATTTCATTTCCGAGGCTTTGTGTCAGCCCAATCACATATTGTGTCAATACTTATCATTTTATCGTAATTTAAAAACTTGGAAACTGCATGATACACTATAGGAACTACGATAAATTTTCCCTAATCGGCGCCATGTTTTTAGGCTCCTCCCATTTGACGGATCCCAATAGGTCAGTCACTGTAGAAGAGTTGTCGTTACAATAATGTGACATGACACGTATTTACAGGTTTGAATCATATCACCGCTATAGGGAGGAAATTCTCGATGCAAAGGAATCCCCTAAATAGTACCCGCGAAATAGCATAGAACGTTTGCTCCTCCCATGTGACAGTTTTCAAATTTTAAAGGGACAGCTACTGCATCCTTATCATTTGCAGAGAGTGCAAGCCTTACTTCCAACTGATTTTCAGCCGCGAGTGCATTTGTGTAGATGGTTACGGACGGAATTTGGAATTTTCACAATAATTACAATTGGTTCGACGCAAATTCGCATGTTGTACATTCTACGCTGTCTCTTAGACATCTTAGACATTCGATTATCAGTAATTTTTCCATTCTTCATCCATTTAGCTGCAGCATTTTTATCCTCTATTCGGTAGACACCTATGTTGCCAATTCACGCACAGGACCGGCTTCGGATTGTAAATTATTGTGATTTACTTTTTTGCCTTTAACGACGCTGCTGAATTCACTGAGCGATTGTATATTGCATCTTGTTTACATTCTTTCAAAGTTCGGCATTTATTTCTGTTACACCCTGTATATTTAGATGCAATATGTATATTGTACCTACGTACATACAACATGAGTAAAGCAAATATTAAATGAATAATTAATTGCTTGATTTATTTCTATCCAAAACCCGTGCCAAAAGTGTCATTTCGTTTATATATGTTTGCAAGAGTTATATTCACCTATATTTCACACGCTAAGCATTGAGTATTATATTACTCGTATGTTCTATGTATTGCATTAAATCTAATGCCTCATCATTTTTTTTATATATGTATTATGTATTTTCATTTTTTATGTGTAGAGAAAAGAAAGAATAGTTTTTAGAGTAAGTTACTTTTCATCCTTCTAATAAGGAAGTCGATTGTAATTTCTAGTTTTTAATAAACGTTTTTAAAAACAAAGTTTCAAATTCCCGAAACTTAATTGGCGCAGTCAGTAGGATAGTTAAACGGTTCGGACAAAAATCGCCAAAAAAGGACCGCGTCGTTTTNTGTTTGCAATAAATAAAAGCCAGAACAATTGTTTGATGTTAACAAAAGCTGAGCACTAATTAGTTCTAACAAGTATTAGTTAAAATATGGTAGTTGTCACTATTAATTTCCATTTGATCATTTGTTATATCAAATTTTTTGTATATGCTAATTTTTATACTTTGTAATAACGATTTATTAATCTTGTCAGTTTTTTGCTCTCAACGTTTCGTCGACACGCATGGACGAAATCTTCAGGAGTTCTTCTTCCTAGATGGTAGGTCGAAGTCCTACTCAAAACTCCGAACGACGGCCAAAAGGCCCAAAAATTGACATTTGTATCAACGAAGGCAGCAAAAGCTTGAATACATTTGTGATTATTTAATCCTTTATTTGCAAGACTTTATTGTTAAATGTACGAGTTTGTTCAAATATGTCTATTAGTCGATTAGCATCGAGTCGAGTAATTTTTATATTTCAGTAAATTGTCTTTTTATGTTCATTTAAACCTATATTATAACGTCTTCCCTTTTGACTTATATAAACCTTAGATTCTCCGTTTAAAGACCAAGATTCAAGAAATTTTTTTTTATATACTTAATTAAACTATTTTATTAAAACTTTTGGGGTGCGATTCGAACAAGCAATCGTTTGGTAGTGTTACATTGTTAAAAACAGAAACAAATATTTTTCCTAATCCGTTTCTGGTTTATTGAATAAATATAAATGGTGTACATAATTATCAACTTACTAATTGGTTGAATTCATTTGATTATCAAGCAAAAAAAGTACAACTAAAAATGTCCCCAGTGGGTAGCGCCAACATGACTCTCGGCTCCTCCAAAGCCACCGTGATGTCCGTAATGTGCCGGATGATGGGCATGTCCTAATCTTTTAACAACAGCTTGGAATCCAGTGTGAGGTCCTGCTACATATTCAACAATGCGCTTGGTGCCATCTGGTTCATCTAAACTGTAAGCGCCCTTTACCACATGTCCGTTCCTTTCTTCGTGCTGAGATTTATGATCCTTAGTGTGAGGATCATGAACGCCATAACTGAAGTGATAATGGGCAGGTTCCTAAAAATAAATAAGCTATAACAGCGAATGGCATGAATCAGGAAACTGAGGTCAGAAATGTCATTTTAAATTCTTCAATATAAAACATTTGATATTCTGATGAGCATTATTACGTGAAATAAGAGGATAAAAGAACCAAGGGAATAGTTATTTCCAATTAATTTTTATGGAAAACTTATAATTTACCCTTAAAACATTCCCAGTCCATCAAGATTTTGAAATGTCTTAACCTCAAAATTCTAACGATGCTAATTTATTAGCTTGTTTCGTTTTGAAATTAGGATATTTCAAAATTACAGTCTTCTAAAAGTTCTTTGGGTGCAGACGCAATTTGGCGTCAAAGAGTGCATCGAAAATTGTTACCTTCACTTTTTAATTCTCCAATTTTTCGTAATAATGCTGACGAAAAGGAAAAGACTTTCAAAAATGACAGTAATACTATAGAATGTTGAAAAGAAGAACACGAAGAGGATAATCAATCGAGTTAATTACAAGTATTCAACAGTAGATTTAAGTCTGGCTCCACAATTGCTCTAGCACATTGAAATATCTTAAATAATCTCAAAACCAAACACGCCAAATTAGCATTACTTAAATTTTAAATTTAAAATATTTCACAATTTTTATTCTTCGACAAAAGAACGAATTAAGTTGTTGACCATCAGACGTGAATCGCGATTTCGATTGTATTTGATCTCATCAGCACGCCGTAGGTAGTCTCGACAAATCACCATTCAAACCGAAGGTTTCCGGTATTTATATAATATCGAGTTACGGCAGCATACTGCTATCTACTGATACTTGCTGCTAACAAAAATATCTATTTCAAATATTAGAAAAGGGCTTTACCAAATTGTCTAATTACTTGTTCGCCGAATCAACGTCCCAGCTGAATTAAGTACGGATTAGTTCTTGGTTAAAACTTTATCGAAACTACCGAACGTGGACTGCGATTTGGATCTTATTTGATCTCATCAACACCTCTCAGGCAGTCGCAATAAGTCACCGACCAAACTGTTCTTATTAATTTGGTTTGAGTGTTTCACGTATATAAACTACTTCATTGATTTAGCTGATAAATGGTAAGGCCCTTGTCTAGCATTTGGAACACTTCAGTTAGCAGGAAATATTAGTAGATGGCGACATAAGTATAGTAATACTCTTTTTAGAAAATACTACAAATGGCGCAGTAAACGCCATCTGTAGCACGATGTTATATTTTAGGATTACGTATGCTCCAACAATGCCCGAATTATTTTAATACTCTTTTTCCTTTCGGGCTTAGGAAATTCATCGAAAGCATTTTAATTTTTTCTCTTTCAGCCCCTGAATTTCTTGACCTTATGTTAGCAAGACAATTATGGATATAACAGTTTATATGAAATAATAAACAATAAAAATAAAAGGTACATAAACAAAAAAGTATTGAGATAGTTACATACATGATGTGTGGCTGACACTGCAACAATTACAGTTGCTGCTAAAAGAGCGAATACCTGAAACATTAATACAATAAAAAATTAGGTTGTTAATAGTAAAAATAATATTTTTTTACCACGGTGCCGTTCATGTTGGTTTAGACGTGTTGTTTCTGTAAAATTTGGAACTGTAAAGATACAGTTTTCGTACATTGGTTAAGCTTTTATAGGCAGAAATGGAACTTTCTTTTTGAAATTCGCTGGCATATTTGCAGACCTAAAATGCATATAGGTGTAGGTACACAAAAATTAAAAACCGTTTGACAAAAAGTTATAAAGTAATATTACATCATATTAGCATTATATAACTACTTATAATCAAAAGCATATGTTCATAACTGTTAAAACAAATTTGGTAATGCTGAACGGTTTTTTGGAAGTATATATTATTTGTTTTATTGCAAAAAAGGCACCAAAGACGTGTTGGTCTCATTCACACTACAAAAGTTTCCATAGCAGATTTAGGTTGCGCCTAATTGCACTCAAATTAATAAAACGAGGAGATTTGAGATGTTACTATTTCTTGAAACACAAATTCCATATCTTCTCTTTTTGAAGAAATTATTTTGGAAATGAAATACAATTAAGAGACTGAAAATAAACAGTTCTTATTACTATTCCAAACAATGCCGTCGCGACGGTTCGCCTTTACAACTCTTCTTCAGGGTAGACGAAAGGCTCAATAGCATTTTATAAAAATTATTAATAAAATGTGGTCATTTGAAATATTGTTATTCCATGAAATACAAATTCCATATCTTCCGTTTCATGAGATGTTATTTTGGAAATTAAATCCAATTAAGAGACAAAACAAATATTTATTACTATTATTGCAAACAACACCGCTTCTTCAGAATAAATTTTGTAAGTTAATTCTTACATAATTCTGTAATCAGGACCCTCCATACGGAAATCCTTTTAAGTTTACAATCTACTAACCAACCTAGAGGGATAGTAGAGGAATGTTTTCAAACTTTATGAACTATAAATGGATTAACTTTTAGCCTTAGGGGTAACAAACACAGATAAACGAGTGATACTTAGTTTGTATAAAAAGCAACAGACAGTCGGGCTGCAACGCAGATAAGTAAATATTACGAAAGGAGTTAGACAAGGATGCACACTGTCACCGCTGATTTTTTATCTATACATCGAAGACGCGATTAACATCAATGAAGATTTGCAGATGATATAGCAGTATTGGCATCAGGTAAAGAGGAGTTAGGGATAGCTTTAAATAAAATGGAAGCGGTATTGACATAACAGTACTGTACAGAAATAAATAAAAGTAAAACAAAAATACTGGTATACAAAAAGAAAAAGCGAATATAAAGAGAGGAGACGAAAGATTAGAAGAAATGGTTGATTTTAGGTATCCAGGAAGTCAGATAAGTCGGGACGGAAGGAGTAGTAGGGATATAAAGTAGAAGATAGTGCAGCGTCGAGTCGCCTTCAATAAAAAGAAGTCACTTTTATGCTCGCGAATGATTAATTTAGAAATTCGAATAAGATTGTTAAAGGTGTATGTTTGAAGCGCGGCACTGTACGGGTGTTAAACATAGACGGTGGACGCGGCGAAAAGAATAGCTTAAAAGCGTTCGAAATGTGGTGTTACCGGCGAAGGATAACGTGGATAGGGAAGGTTAGAAACAAAGAGATATTAGAAAGAATAGAAAAACAGAGGACTCTATGTAAGTCAATAAGAAATAGACGAGATAGGTTGGTAGGACACCTTCTCAAGCATGAAGGTCTGGTCAGAGACTTAATAGAGACAGAAACGGGAGTTAGGTGTAGACCTAGATTAGATTACTGTTCGCAAATAGTTGAGGATGTGGGTTGTTCTAGTTTTATGGAAATGCGAAGATTAGCTTAGGATAGGAAAGAGTGGAGGTGCGTGTCCAACCAGTCTTAGGACTGACGACGTTATGATGATGAAGTAAAAAAACTGAATATAAAATGTGAAACTTATAGTCAAAAATGTACTAAAGGGAGGAGGATGTCCGATTCTGGCCTCTGGTCTTGGAAACATTCAAAATTTCGAGATATCTTTTTTCCATGTTCATGAAGAGTGACTTATCTATTATCAGAATTATCAATGGGATTGTTCAACAAAGAATTTACATAAAACGTAAACTGTAGTATGATAAGCAGTTTTCTTCTGGACACAGTGTTTTATGTAAAACGTTTCTTTTTCTTGAAACTGATGCCATCTAAACAGGCGTATTGTGCGTAAACACAACCTTCAAGGAATACATAATTCTTTTCCTTTCTGAGATTATGTACATCTTAAAACTTAAGGTACGACTGGTTTAGTGTCCTGATTCATTTTAATTACATAATTAAGTCGGAATTAATTTAAGATCCACTTAAAAAAATAAAAATTTCCTGGCACTAAATAAAGATATTTTTATGAAACTATAAAGTTCTCATTTTAGGTGCTTATTTACAGATGCCTAATAGTGAATCAAAATTATTTACTATAAGGAAAAGGTGCCTATAAAACCTTTCTCTGAATCCACTTGCCTTTTTTCTTTTATCCTTTAAATTGTCTTTCTGTCTTCTGAAAAAAAATACCAAATTTGAACATCCTCGATTATAAATAACTTTCTTTTTATATGCTGTGTATTAATTTCAATTTTCTTTGTTCTCCTGTTTCGATCGATATGTCTATCTGTATTATCAAAAAATTCAAGTTATCCCACGTTTTCCAGAAAATCCGCTCCATCAAAAAATGTCAGTCAAGATTAGGTTGTTTCAAGAAACTTTTTCAGTTCAATTTCTGTACAGCACAGCAGTAAGTACTATTCACCAAACGGATATTGATCGTGTGCACTAAAAACAATAATTTTTTGTAGAGCAGAAATACAATTTTCAATTAAAATAGTTTTGAGAAATTTTACATTTATTGTATATTTTTCGCACCTCATCAACACTGCAATTTAATCGACACAATGTAAATACGTATGTAGTTAACTACTATAGATCTGGCAAGCCCATAACGTGTTAAAAAAATTAAGAAACTATAAAATATGAGATTTAAAGATGAAAAATAAATAGTAATGAGCAGATTGATATTTCTATTTGCGGTAAAAAAAGCAAACGCCCCAATTGGTTAAGTAGTAAGTAGATATAATAAAGCAAAAGGTAGTGGTAGTGTTTGCTTTATGGCACCTAATAAATTACCCTAATCCGAGCAACATTGGTTGCCTATCTCAATTTTTCTGGGCCATGCAGTTCACTAAAAAAATCAAAATATTTCTGTTTTTTACGTTTTTGCACTGCCGTGCCACTTCTTTCGTTCGAAAAAAAAAACTCGAACTGTATTTTAATGTTTATTAATAAAACAACTTCACTAAAACTAGTTAATAATTAAAATTAATAGATGTTGCTGTACCAAACACTGAAAATCTTAAACAAAAACATATTGAGAAAATTCAAAAATATATTCCATTAGCAGATGAAATAAAAGACATGTGGAATCAGAACACAGTTCGAATTCTTCCAATAATAATATCATCAATAGGCGTTATACCTAAAACATTACACGCTAGCCTAGCCGAGTTGAAACTGCATAAGTTTACGTACATAAGTCTACAGAAATCGGTAATCCTTGATACATGCGGAATTGTGCGTAGATTTCTTAACAGTACTGACATATCCCCCTTTTCAGAAAACACAACAGGTTAAATAAGAAGCAGAGTTTTTAATACTCACTGATCATATTTTAGGGCAAGAAGAACCGTTAGCTCCCTAAATTTTAAGAACAGAAAATTGGTTTCTATATCCCAAAAGATGTGAGTGAGGTTCTTTGGCATTAGCCCGTCTTCACTTGCTTAAAGTTACCAGTGCAAACTGAGAAGACCAGGATGATAATGCTTATGTTTATGTTGATCAAATATTTGTTTATTGTTATGTGATTTGATGATAAATTGATTACGTTGACGGATCGTTATGACTGTTCAAAGTGCAATGCTATCTTCCATATTTAAAGTTTCTCGTTTACCTACTACTATTTTCCCTCCAAGGGGGTGATAACGGTACCTGCCAGAAGTATACGTTTCAAGGCTATCTGTTAATATTTGAATATTAATCAAGGGTGAGTATTGAAACGGTTACTTATGGTATTTACAACCTATGCAGACCATGGGCTAGGGTAATAAACCGCTGTATCCAAAACGGTCAAATAACAATAAATTCAACAATTTTTTAAAAAATGCCACAAATAGCGCGGTAAACGCCATCTGTAGTACGATGCTACATTTTAGGATTACGTATGTTCCAACAAAGTCCATTAAAATATATGGATATCTACTTGCTGAAAACGAATCCCGGCGTAGCCAACCTCAACGTGATAGGCACGTTACCATAATCCTATCACCTGTCACGTTGAGGTTAGCTACACCGGGATTCGTTTCAGCGAGTAGATATCCATACAAATGGACCTTGTTGGAGTATACGTAATCCTAAACTGTAGCGTCGTACTACAGATGGTGTTTACCGCTCCATTTGTGGTATTTTCTAAAACGCACTGTTAAGACAGCAAGTAAAAGATGGTCTGTGTTCTGTCGGAGCTGTCTGCGACGCGCTGATGAGATCCAAAAAGATCGAAACCGCGATCCGCGTCTGGCAGTTTCGACAGAATACAGATCACTATGAATTATTTTATATTTCTGTTTATTTAACAGCTGACAAAAATCGGGATTCGTACTTTTCTTAAGAACACGCTAAACTATAATTTGCCCGAAGAGCAGGTTCTAACTCATTCTTATGTGGCTGGAATTTATTGAATAAGTTTTAAGGTGTTTTTTTAATAAAACAAAAACGAAAAGTACATTCGAAAAAAGCGCTTCGTACTTGTATAGATAATAACGAGAGCTTTGGTTTGAAACTTCGACCACTCTTTTAACTTGTCTACAACAGTAATCCATTTAATAAGAATAAAAAAAATCTCATTTGTCTAGAAGTATGGATGTAGCCGGCAAAATTGTAAAACTGCCCTAAAAATATAATTGTAATTGTTTGCAATTTGTTTATAAGAGAATGGTTATCAACTTTTTTGGGAAACAATAAAGCACAATATTCGGCAAATTCTCAAAAGCGCATGCACTA